TTTGGAGGAGTCCCACCAGGGTCATTGTCCTGTCTTTGGAGGAGTTCCACCAAGGTCATTGTCCTGTCTTTGGAGGAGTCCCACCAAGGTCATTGTCCTGTCTTTGGAGGAGTCCCACCAGGGTCATTGTCCTGTCTTTGGAGGAGTCACACCAAGGTAATTGTCCTGTCTTTGGAGGAGTCACACCAAGGTCATTGTCCTGTCTTTGGAGGAGTTCCACCAAGGTCATTGTCCTGTCTTTGGAGGAGTCCCACCAAGGTCATTGTCCTGTCTTTGGAGGAGTCCCACCAGGGTCATTGTCCTGTCTTTGGAGGAGTCACACCAAGGTCATTGTCCTGTCTTTGGAGGAGTTCCACCAAGGTCATTGTCCTGTCTTTGGAGGAGTCCCACCAGGGTCATTGTCCTGTCTTTGGAGGAGTCACACCAAGGTCATTGTCCTGTCTTTGGAGGAGTCCCACCAAGGTCATTGTCCTGTGTTTGGAGGAGTCACACCAGGGTCATTGCCCTGTCTTTGGAGGAGTCACACCAGGGTCATTGTCCTGTCTTTGGAGGAGTCACACCAGGGTCATTGTCCTGTCTTTGGAGGAGTCACACCAGGGTCATTGTCCTGTGTTTGGAGGAGTCACACCAAGGTCATTGTCCTGTCTTTGGAGGAGCCACACCAGGGTCATTGTCCTGTCTTTGGAGGAGTCCCACCAGGGTCATTGTCCTGTGTTTGGAGGAGTCACACCAAGGTCATTGTCCTGTCTTTGGAGGAGTCACACCAGGGTCATTGTCCTGTGTTTGGAGGAGTCACACCAAGGTCATTGTCCTGTCTTTGGAGGAGTCACACCAGGGTCATTGTCCTGTCTTTGGAGGAGTCACACCAGGGTCATTGTCCTGTCTTTGGAGGAGTCCCACCAGGGTCATTGTCCTGTCTTTGGAGGAGTCCCACCAGGGTCATTGTCCTGTGTTTGGAGGAGTTCCACCAAGGTCATTTTCCATTCTTTGGAGTCCCATGAAGGTCTGAGGCTCAGTGACTAGTAAGAGTAATTAATGTACAATTACAGCAAATTCCCAATTCGTGACCACGAACGGTTATGAAGATGGTTACAGTCAATTACAATTGGCCAAGTTGTAATAACAATTATAAATGGCTTTAAGGAAAATACAATTACAACTCAATTGCTTTTTTGAAAAGCTAATTATAGCCGGCGTGCCAATTACACTTGGCCAGATGCATTACTTGGGCGCTGAAATGCCATCAAGGACGTTCAGAGTGACCTCTCGTCGCATCAGCCACGTTCATCATCTTGCCACAGTGACATTTTGACTTACAGACACTGAAATGACGGCAGTATTTTTCTGACAAATAAATACAGTAATTCTATCAACTGGAAATACAACACCACACAACCAGAAGAGGGGAAAAGGATTTGGTTCAGACCAAAATGGTTTGAGATGTTCAACGACCCTTTTTGTTCATAGTGCTCCAAATACACGGTCCATATCTAGGTTGTATATTCCGCTGCACCAAAACAGCTCCTCCGTCAGTTGCCCAGTAAACCCCACGTTGTGAGGAATTGAGTCAAAATCTTAGCCTGGATCAACTCAGCAATATCATGATCATTGTCCTGATGGGATGAGCAAAAATAAAATTTGCATCAGCTGATGAGGCTGCTCCCACTTTGAAGGAAGGCAGCCAGGCTTCTGCAATGGATACACTGTCCCCAGGCATGGGCATGTGGAAATTCCACACGTGGTGCAAGGCTGCTGGTGGAGATGAGCAGCGACCACAACGAATGTGTACAGGGAGACTCTTTGACTGCCAAGCGCGAATATCAAATTGTGTCCCAGACCCAGTGACATTGAACCCAAACAGCAACACACTGCCCAAATATTGCGACTGCAAATGGTTGGCCACGACATACTAGGAAGATCACTAAACTGAGACCCAGTGTGACCCATGCACTTGGTTTTAGTTGTATTACTAATGTGTTAATGGAGGAAAGAATAGTAAATGGACTCTTTAAGGCGACGTGGACATTATGCCGGAATGCGCTGCGAATCACACACGGTATTTATTTTTACGGGTGGAAATGCTCTTTTAGGCTCATTATGTAACACAAATGTTTGCCCTTTGTAGCTGTATTAATGTATCCTCATTATTATTCCTCCATTAACAATAACTATTTAATAGTCCACTCAAATATATACGGCATACAGATCCTGATTTTTTTTGTTAATGCCATAGAGAATCTCACTGGAATATGAAATGTCGGAAGCTTGTTATGCAATTACTTTTATATTCCTGTAACACCCAATATATTTATTTAACTAGAACACAACATTTCCAAAAAATTCTAATAATCAGAAATTAACGTTGCCATATGCTACATATGTGTGTATACTGTACACATGTAAACATGTACAGTATATGTACTATATGGGTAGCAGGGTGGCACTGCGACTCATCTCACGATCAGAAGGTTGTATGTTAAAATCCCAGTCGGAGGTAAACTCACCATTTCATCTCTTCAGGGTTGCTAAAACCTGTACCATCTCTCGGCTCAATAAAATTAGTACAATTGCCTGCCATAGTAATGTGGAATCTCATGCCAAAGCTGAGGACTATTAAAGAAGATGAGCAACTGGCCAATGCATATTTGAGCAGAAAAAAATCTGTACGTAGTATACGTAATAATGTTTTGTGATGACATTATTGCACAATGAATTGCAATGTGAGAATTGGCAGCTTATTTGTCTTTTAAATGACAGTTTTTCACCACCGCAGGTTAAGTGACAACACACAGGCCTGCGTGCCCTGAGATCATTGCCCGGTGAATTGATGTGGTCTTGTGGTCCTGCTACTATTCCGGCCTTGATACCTTCCCGCTCGAGGGTTCACGGTGTGGGCAGGGGATTGTGACCGGGGCAGCGGAGGACAGCAGTGAGGAGGTCAGCACTCGGGGAATTGGGGGGGGGGGGGGGGGGCTAGCCACAAGTAGGCCACGCATGCTCGCTACACCGGCCCTGCTTATTTTCACGAGTCCGGCGCGAAATTAACGCTCTGCTCGTCGGCTTCCGAGCCCATCGGCGTGCCCAGCCGCCCGTCGGGACTGAGCAGAATGCGTCGGCTCGCTCCGCTTTGACCTGGAGTCGCGGCCGAAGGCGTCGGCCGTTGCGAGATCGTCGATGAAGACGACACGAGAGTCGCGAAATGCAACCGCGCGTCAGAGCGCGTCGTGAGCTGGCACCCCGGTCGCAGGCACGGCAGCACGCGGGCGCAGGATCTTTTTGGGCACTTCTGCAGTTAAAATCCAGGGAGGTGTTTGGCCTTGAAAGACAGGACCAGGCTAAAGGTTACCATCCTTTTTCAGGGATGAGGGCAAAGAAGTAATAGCTCTGCCTCGTCGCCACAGCCTGGTTGCCACGGGAGATGTAATTAAGAGTGCGGAGACCTCATCTCTCCACTAATCTTAGTCATTACTGGAGGTGCAAGTTGCCTAATCGAACAGGCAGCATAGTGCCTGCGATGTGGTTTTCTATTTAACCCTTTCCGCACCTGCCCATCTCGGATATGCCACCCGCGTTGACTGGACACCCCGGGGGCGAACCGGCGCACTGCCGGGGGGGGAAACAAAAAAAAAGAATTCCCCCAACCGCTCACTCGAAGGCGAAAAAGTGTGCCTCGAGAAATTGTGACACCGGTCACGGTTTTGCATTGTGGCCTAATGCAGGCACAAGGCCCCTTTCGTTAGACACGCCGCAGGCTGGAGGCTGCTTTAACGAGGAGTGCTTTACTCGGACTCCGTGGCATTTGTCGGTTGTTAGCGGCGAGGAAGGGCAGCTCGTTGCAAACGAGACGTCAAAGCACCCGGCGCGGGAGGAGGCGGTGGGAAGTTGTTGCGGCGATTCCGCGGAAGGGTTAAAGGCACATTGTAATTTCTGAGCTGGGGCTGTAATTGTCTTGTGCAGGCTCGGCTTGATGAATCCAGAGATTCGGTCACAGTCCTAACGGCGTTGGCCCCCAACGATATTAACATTTTTTTTTTGCGGCAGCAGAGGCGGATTTTCGCAGGTTAGTTATACTCCTGAGTTCCATTAAATGAGGCTGTGACCTTATCAGAGGAAGCGGCGACGGGCTTTTCGTCTCGCGCCTGTCAGATTGGTCGCCATGGAGACTTGCAGAATCCGGCAGCGGGCCGCTGGCGTGCTGGACAGTTTAGCGGAGAAAAGGAAGCAGACGCGGATGTCCTATGCCTTCTCTCGCACCCCCGTGCTAAGTGCTCACACCCACCGAGTCATTTTATATATACACACACACACGCGCGCGCGCGCGACACTGATTCTTTTGTTATCAAGGGTTCGTGATATCGTCTCCGTGGGGTTGGTAACAAAAACAAATGAGGACCGCTTTGTGGGAAGTCCACGGGTGGGTGGGTGGGTTAGTTCGATGAATATTCAGTTGCTTGCCATGGGAATGTGGAATTTCCACTCTTGGCTCAGACCTGACAAGAGAGATGATTGCTTCCCGATGGCTTGTTTGAGCAGAGAGTCAGTTTAATATTCACTTTAACTGTCAACAGTGGCTGTCCTATGGATCGACAGTGCCCTGCCATGGCAATGTGGAAAATCTACACCTGGCATAGGGTCGCCAATGAAGAGAAGCACTGCCCAAACACATGTTTGAGAAGGGAGACACTGTACATCTTTTGTATAACTTTTTTTATTTAGTGAGGAAAGGTTTGCTCGCTCTGATAGCTCATCCCGAGAAGGGTTCCGCCTGGGGTTTTGGCCAATTATGTTTTGCACATTTTCACGCTCAAAGTGCCCGAGAAAAAGCCCATGCAACATGAGGGGACATTACTCAAACTCTACGCAGATACAGCTTGACTTAAAGCATTCGTGACTGCAGGAATTCACATTCTTTGGGTCTTTCGGTGACGATTGCTTGTGTTGCGATCGAAACGTCGTGATATTTTAATTGTTTTTTTATTCGCTCTATTTTTGTTATTTTATTGTTCTATCTACGTGACTTTACCGAAAGACCCAAGGAATATGAATCTACGCAGATAGCCCATCAAGTAACGTACACGTTGCATTGCTTCCTGCAGGCACCTCGTGCCCTTTAGGTGATTGACTCAAACCCATCATGGCTACTTCTCTCTGCCTGATCCACCAACCTCACCTCCAAGTTAATGGGTTATAGACATGCACCACCACACCCGGCCATCGTCTGAGCCATTGATTGATTGATGTGCCTTATTTAATCAGGTGGGGGTGGGGCCCTCTGAGATTCATTATCTCTTTTGCACGGAGGGTCCATTGGGGGACTGCAGTTACGTAGCAACAGCTGCTAATAATTTTTTTTGTCCAGATATTTAATTTAGCCGTGGGTGATTTTTTTTTCAAAGTTAGGATTTTTGGGGCGTGACATCTGTTGCAAAGAGAGATAATGTCACGAGGTTTTTTTTTTCAACGTCCGCTTTAACAATGAATGTATGGCGTGCTTTGGTAATTTTCGGGGCTGTAATTACGTGGCGGCGGTGGGGATTGACCCCCACAGTTTCTACGTAAACTGACCCAGCGGTGGGGTATGCAGACCACTAATCTGCCTGCTGTCCAATGCAATTTATAAGCGTAGTTGCTAATGTATTACAGCTACAGCGGTTTGTCAATTAGTGGTTTTATTTAATTTATATTAAGAGAAAGACGTACTCACATTTCTGTTGATGAGATCACAGTGAAAATTAGCATGTAAAACTACCCAGCCAGACTTGGGAGGTGCTCATTTTTTCAGAGAAATATCTCAAGCCGGAGTGGACATTCCACACTCCAGTGACGGGAGCCGGTCTCTCCGCACGGTGATCCTAAGGTTGCCAATCCAGGAGGGTTGCTGAGCTGAGTTGGATATCCTGACCAGGGTGTTAACTTTACGACTTTTTAACCGTGAGAGAGGCGCACGCATTAACCACGGAGACACCCGGCTGGATTTGACCCAGTTAAAGTCAGCCAATGCCAACTCAATCGTATACAATGATAATCCAACACGGGGTGGTGTGGTTTCCGCTCCTTGTAAACAACATATCCACAGCAGCTTTTCATTCAGCTTAGAGCTGAGTACAGCGTAGCGAAGGTCCCGATGCACACTCGCAACAACGACAACAACAACAGCCCCAGCAGCAAGGAAATCCACATTGGGTTTTTTTTTTACACAATGCCGTGTTTTGAAGTGACGATGAGGCCAGGGGCAGGCACGCTGTGCATGGCATGGGCTAACTGCAACGCCGTGCGATCACGTGAGGCACCGCTGTCAGCGGAGCCTCTTCGCCCTCGCTCAAAGTAACCGCCGTGTGGTTTGTTTATTGCACTGAAAGCGGTAAAGAGGCGGCTCTGTAAAGCATCCTCGTGACTTCCATTGCCATATTCTAACAACCAATCCAATGAATGTGACCTTATTTGCTTTAAATGACACCAGTTTCGGCATTTTCTTTGGCAGGAAGCGAAGTATTTAGTCTTAACGCCGCATTCCAATTTCTGCTCCACAATGCCCAGCGCATGCGGACACGCGTGTTGTGTCAGTAACTTGCAAACGAAAAACTGGAGCAGTCCTCGTGCTCATAGCCACACTGTCATGTTTCGTTTTTACAGGAGGACAAAGTGAGCTGCCTCCCTTTTGAAGAGGAGATTTCATGAAAGCAAAGGTGACCACTGGTTCATTTCTGAAGCGTGTTTTTTTATATTCTTAACACAACACAAAGACAAAAGATCCCTCCCACCCTTAGCCTTAACAGGCTTTTGGGCAAGTGCTGTCAGTGAGCACAAGGAGATGGTTTGGCCAGCACCACGCCATTTGTCTCTCTCGTGGCGATCTTTACACATCACACCAGGTACTCATTTTAGGCTGAGTCGAGCTAAGGGAGGCTCAAGACCGATTCATATGTCCATCACCGATGTCGGGCGTGAGCAGGAATCGAACTCGGGTCGCCGGATTCGTCGCGCAGCGCGCTAACCACTGCACCACCGCTCCCCATTCTTAACACACGCACACACACACAAGCGCACGTGAATTCTACGGGAAAGACACTTTGCCAGCGATGTTGAAAGTGTCCGCTACAAGCAATACTGACTTGCAAATTGAAAACGGCACCAGAGATGAGACGGCGTTTTGTGCGCCGCGTACACCTGTTTTCACGTTACGACACCGTGCGAGTCACACATAACCCAGACGTGTTCTTTGTGGCCATTCCATTTATTTTCCAGCTCCCATCTCCGCAAATCACATTTCAAGCATTATCCGCATCCCCAGCAAACATTGCATGTCAAACTTTTAAAATAGAGCGGCGGCAAGAGAATCGCATGCGATGCATATTTTTATGCGTGTGGGTAAATACAGCGAACGCGTTAATGCGCTTATTTAAGTGTGGGATTGGTACATGAAGGCGGAAGGCCTTAAAAATAAACATAAAATTAGGTTGTTGTTATTGTTGTGACTTTTTGTAGATGCCTTGTTTTGAAATGCATTGCCCGCTCTGTGTGTGTCTAAGCATGTGTGCTGGAATGATGCATCGATCCGTCGATTAATATTAGTCTCGCGATGCACGCATCGTGTCATGTGTAAGATTAAATGTTTTTTTTAATGTATATTGTATCCAAATGTTAGAGGAGGCAATATGCAATTATTGTGAACGTTCCTCTCTTCGTTTGGGCATCACAGTCGCAAGATGTTAACTATCTCGCCAGGTATACAGGAGGTTGTGGGTTCGATCCAAACCCTGATGCCTGTATAGTTGGAGTTTGCATGTCTCTCTCCCCGTGGTCGTGTTGATTTTTCTCCAGGTCCTTCGGTTTTTCCCTCCACATTTATAAATGTGTGTTTAGAGTATTTGGCTGCTATAAATGTCCACGTAATAAGCCACTTCGTTGAGTTGTCATTTGTGGCCTGGTCGCTTCTGAAAAAGAGCTATATAGCTCAGTGGGCCTTACCTGGTGAAATATCTTTTTAAGTCGTTTTTAAAGGAAATTATATTTTCCAAAATTGCTCCATCCTGCTTTCACCTTCGGGAATTGCCCGAGGTATACGTGCCCTGTTGTGTGGTCCGGTTTTTGCCCCTCCAACAATTATTTGAAAGAGTGTGACATTTCAAGACCGTGAGGGATTTGCGACGACACGGGGAATGCCTTTGTGCAGCAGTGAATAGAACATGGCCGACGAGGCTCTGTTACGTTTGACGGTTTTATGTGACAATTGCGGACACTGCTTGCGCTACCATTCACTGAAATGTAAAAAATTTTTTTTACCAAAATCAATCAGTCGAAAAACTGGCCGGTAGGGAATGAATCCTTCTACCTCTTGTTCACATGCGAGAAGAGATCGTGATAGTTTCGTGGTTAACGCACTGTGCTACAACACTGGCAACCCGGGCTTCCACTTCTGGCAATGAAGTACCCCATCGTTGGTGATTGAACTTCCCTTAACTAGAATGTCGCCTGAAATTAGTAGTAGTAGTAGTAGCACTGGTGTTATACGGTCACAAGACCATTAGCAACGGACAGACTAAGGTAACCGGGCCGATGTGACGATGGTCTCCACACTCCATCATGTGCTGCGCCAACCTTCTTAACATGTGCTTGCTAATAGACCTTAATAGCCCATAGGGTTCATAAGGTTTAATCAATGGCACCAATGGTTTAATTTGTGCATTTAACAGAAATACTCGTCGTTTTTTTTGTGGTTGTGCCGATTAGCCCTCTGATGTGTTTTCAGGTCGTACGGAGTGGTGTTTGGAATAATGTCCAACGTGTCATTTCATGTGCTGGGAGCTTCCTGAGCGGAGACACATTTAAGAGACGACAGAAAGACGAATGCTGACCTCGCGGTAAAGAGTAGACGCAGTTAGAATACCTGCAAGTTTAAATATATGGATAAAAAAAACAAGAATAATGTTCTTGTTTTGGGGGTTGACACCATTACACTAGGCAATTCAGTCACGTAATTTACACATACACGACCAATTCACATTACCTATAAATGACCACGGCTGACATTTTTTTCATTAAATGTTGAAGTACGGCATTCACAATTGCTAGCGAGTAATGCTAATACTGCCCTGGCCTCGTGGCTTTAAATACACATATATATGCACGTCCATATGCACTTTTGTAATCTATACATGTGTGCTGTGAATGTTAAATGACCGATTTAACGATACCAAAAGCCGCATTTTAATCGCCGCCCCCAATAAACGCGCGCTGGTCTTCGCCGTGTTCCAATTCTCAAACGTTTGCCTGTTTATTAACAACGGTAATAAGTTACAACAAATAAACGTTTCGAAAGATTAATCATCTGGATTTTAGGCCTGTATTGATATGTACACCTAGGCAATTAAGTGGCTCTCAGCTGTGTAATTACATTTTAAGGGACAGGCCCTGCAGTGGGGGGTTGTGCACACTCCCAGGGGAACAATCCTTCACCCGCAGTGACATGTGGGATAACCTCATGGTTAGCAGCAGCGCTCATTATAGCAGGCGGTTCGGGAAGGAAATGCAGAATAAAATGGGGAGGGAGCCGTTGTATTTAAAAAAGGCGGGGGGGGGGGCACTTTCTACTGAACGAACAGGAGGCCATAGTGGTGGGGGGAGGCATGACGTAGCGCCATTTAACAACACCATCCGATAATAGGGAGGGGGGGGGGCTCAGGATGATTAATAATAAGCCCGTTAGATTGAGCAAGGGGGTACTGTGGCCGAGCAAGGTGGTAGGGGGGGAGTGAAGAGCAGAAAAGCTGCTTAGAGAAAGCAGGAGACACTCGGCCTGGGCAGGAGCCACTGGGAGGCTAAGCAGGGGGGGGGGTGGCCTTTATCCTGAGCTATCGGTTGTGCGTGGGGGGAACTTTCTGGCTGAACTTTGGGGGGGGGGGGGGGGGGGGCTTAGGTTGTGTGTAGGGAGACGCGCTTGGGCTTCGTGGTACAGGAAGTATGGTGCGCGTAATCATAGTGGTGGTGGTTGGGAATTGATTGAAACGCTGGGCAATTTCGATCTTCCTCGAGCTGGCAAGCGCGCCAGTCACGTGCGCCGTCACGGTGGCACGACGCCGCCACCCTTGACGGAACTTCCGTCGAAAGCTGCACAAAACCCGCCACGCCGTGACCCGGTGCCGTGTTTTGATCGATGACCTTTATTTAAACAGGCGAGATCCCGCCGAGGTCGGCTTCGTGAGATCAAGATGAGCAGGACGTCACTGCCAGTTTCGTCAACGCGTCTACGCCTTGCCATTGCTTCCTTCCGTCCGCTGCATCCCTGAGCCGTGGCATTGTTGACACTTGACCTTCAGAGGCTGGCGTTAGGCTTATCGTACCATCTGCCGAGTTGTGTCTTGGTGAACTGACAGACCTCTCTTGTAAGGGAGTCCTAGGAATGCATAGTTTAGTATGAAGAGTGAGACATTTTTTGCCATGTCATTTTGAATATTTTTCACATCTCTGATGTGTGTGTTAGGATGCAGACGCACGATACCCCTGCGCTTACGAATTATGTTCTATGGTTTTTATAAGATCCACCCCCCCCATATGAAGTATTGACATTTGGCCAATTTTGTCCAATCTTATCCTGACATTGGTCATTAATCACGCCACCAACATTGGCCCAATTCAGCACGTTAATTACGTCAGAATCCAGGCCTTGGTAAGTACAGTAATGCCTTATAAGGTTACCATACTTTACGACCGTTAGAAATAAGCTTTGATCTTTGTGTGTGAGGTGCAGTGGCAGACATGCCACACCTCAGGCGCATTCATTTATGAGTTGCTGGTTCGATCTCAGGACGTGGCAGATGAAGCTCTCCAGAGCTCGCTCCAAAGGGGCATTATCTACCAACCATGGCGTGCGCAAGCAAATTCAGGGTTGCACCATTTCATTTCCCCCAATTATTTAGTTCTTTTTTTCATTATAAATGTTGCCGGAGGTAAAGCGCGGCAATCGCAATGTTTTGTGTTTGGTTCTGGGACCTGCAGATTTGGGTGAAATATTTTTTTGTATTCATTATGTTTAGCATGATTATGAATCCACCTTCCAAAAATTGTGTTTCTTTACTCAACTTCAGACTGAGGCAGTGCTTATATCGGTGGGTAACCTTTAGCTGTTGGTGTAATATTCACATTCCTATGGCGGGCATCGATCTCTCAATGTCACAACTATGACTGACTTCCCACAAAAGCAGAAGGCATTTTAAATAACCCCTGAAGGAAGAGCTGAGTTGACCACCGTTCAGGGATTCAACTCGCAACTGCTCTGTTTTGAGTTTGAATACTCTATCGTGCCGAGCAGCCGAATTGTTGAAACATAGTGTATCATATTCTTTGCGTCTTTCGGTAAAGCCACGTAGATTGATAAAAATAAGAATATATATTCGAAGCAGCTCTCCCGCGATATTTCTCACCTGATGAGGTTTAGTAATAGGTTTTTACCCTTTTATCTGGCACCAAAACTGACACCTTTATACAAGGGATCATGTTTGCAATAACCACAACACAAACAGTCAAAATGCAAACAAAAAGAGACAACTCTGATAATGCACTGTCCTTGAATTTGATTGGTCCACACCCGAGACGGCTTTTCTTAGAACCTAGTCTCCACTGGACAGTGCATATCATTATCAGAGTTGTCTCCTTTTGTTTGCATTTTAACTGCTTGTGTTGTGGTTAT